CCACATGTTACAGACAAGTTCTTAAAAGGCAAGGCCCCCATAAAAAGGTAGCCGCAACGGATAGGGTTTCACTCCCTATTGTTCGTCTATCACCTAGCATACTTGTTGTGAGGTATCAACCTGTGTGTTTTGTGTGTTTAAGCTAAGTTCATAGAAGTAGAGTTACAAACATAGGAGTCATTTACTCTCTCGTTGTCCTCCCACCTAGTTATACTTACTAGTTATCTTTATTTATCTTTATTTATCTTTATCTTGGCTTGTTGCATCATCCCTTCCTATCATATTCCATTTATCCCCTTACACTAGTTGGTACTAAGTTGTGGTAAATATAAGGATCTCTCTTTTATTATCATTCCTAGCTACCACTTTCCCTTGGGATATAATAAATAACGATACCTTGGAATACTCCTGGGTGAAGTGCTACAGTGGTATATTTTGTGCGCTTGTGAAATTATCCAATAGACATAAGAAATACCAAAACCTATGTCGACTACTCCTTTCAAATCAAGACTCGAACCTCATATCATATACTTTCGTATATTTGCAATTTCAAATTGCATTCATCTCGTTCTTGCTTGTGTTCTCGATTCGCTTGTAGGACAGCCTTCTCGACGAGGTCAATCGTGTTGTGCGTGGTTGATAACCAATGGAGAAGTGGTCTAGTGGTTGTAGGGGTACGAATCATACTTGTTTGAAGCCTAGGTCGTGAATGTCAAGTTCTCCACCAAGTGAAGTTATCACACCCATCGTAAGACGGGACGCCTCTACATGAAGTGGTATCAAATACTGAGTTTCCCGTTAGGTATATCTCTTTTTTTCCCTTTAGATTGGATCTGTTTTTTGCTTTACCTAGAGTCCACAAAAAGCCAAATAATACACCTCCACATATCTCTAGTCGTATAGCCCCTTTGTGACTTACAATTTCGTTTCTGATTCAATTTGTTGAGTTTATTTCTATGGTCATGTCTAGTGGCTGGTTTAGTGTATTCTTTGTCATAATTCAATCGCCCATGCTATTTTTTTGTGCCATTGTGCTATCCATCTTCCCAAACAATAAGTTAAGCCACCACATCACTTGATTTTCCTTCGCTATCCACTTTTGTGTTAACTCTCGCCGTACAAGCCCTAGATAGGTTGCAAGCCGCTGTGTGATCTTTGCCTACACCGCAGCCCTCCTTCTTCAGCTTCCAAACCCTAATCTGCATAGTTTTATACCTGGGAACCTCTACCCTAGGTTCATTTTTTTAGAAGCTTTGCTCAGCTATGATCTGTGTTGGCTATTTGAAAAGGTTTGTCTGATCGCAAAATTGAAGTGAGGACACCGTGAAAATCTAGTTTGACCACTCTTCACTAAAACGGCCATAACTTTTGCATACGATGTCAGAATCAGGTGATCTAGTAGTCTATGGAAAGATAATTTCGAGGCCGACATGAAAAAAATCAACATAGCTTCATCCTGTTGCCATCTTCGGCCCTGAGAATCTATTGTTTTGACCTCAAATATGTCCTAGAAGTTGAAATCCCAGTTTCTAGTTTTTCTTGTTTTTTCTCTCAAATTTTTCCTTGCTTCCTTTTTCTCTGTTCTTTGTTTCTGATCATTTGTGAGTGATTTTAAGACCCTAGAAAAAAGAAAAATAAAAAATATACAAAAAAGGAAAAATAGTGAGAAATAGAGAAAAGAGTAGAACAAACACTCTTTTGGCAATATCTTTGAAGAAGATCAGAAAAAGTATTCTGTGTGACTCTTGGTATATTTTAAACACACACAGAAAAGATCCGCAAGCAAACGAATACTGCTGTAGCTTTCACCCGGAGTATTCCAAGTATCGTATCAACAGGGAAACGTGTGAGATTGACTATAGTCTAACTTAACTAGGGGTGGCAACATGGTTAAGGATAAATAGGAGCGTAGAGAGGACTACTAAGGTTCTCTATTTCTATCTTGGGTAAGTTGTGTATTCTACTATTCAACAGGGGACATTACTAAGGAAAGAAACCAATAGAGGATGCTTTTCGTCGCAATCGCGTCCTACTTGGCCTATAGACGGGAGGTGGACTACAAAGGACTCAACGAAGCTATCATCCTCGTGATCTACCACTAATCCAGAATGCAGGGTGCATCCACGAGTAGCTCAAGTCTAAGCACCATGCTTACACTAACGATTACTACTTTATTCCTTCTAGGAAAGGAATAAAGCACTCAAAAGAGTTGCGAACCTGATGAACAATATAAACATAAAGCTTACTTGAATTAGAAATCAATTACCAGAGATGTCTCAGAAGCAAGCTCAAGTAGAGCTTGGATCCACCAAGGTACAAGCCGTAGAAAGAGCACCGACCGGCCAGCACTTCGTCCAAACTCTTCCCTCACTCGCACTCTCTATCTCACTATTTCTATTTACAAAGGCTAGATCCTAACTTAGAGGACTATTATTCTCTTGATTGCTAACGTACCCCCTGGAGGAGCGGGTATGGGGGCCTTATATAGGGGGCACCAGGAGTCCTATGGGCCTATGAATCCATGGCAACATCAAATCTGGACTCTCAATACGAACCGACCTTGAACAACGATGTAGATTGAATCTTAAAGGCGGTGGGAAACCGACATACAAAGGAGAGACTGACTGGAGGGACCCACAGGCTGGCCGGCCTACAGGTGGGGCCGGTCGGCCTCCCCCTATGGCAGGTGGGGTCAGGTCTCGGTGGTTTGCCTTCTGGATGATTATAGATCCTTCCTAAGTCGGTTTCGTCGCGGATAAACATGATTTGCTCTGATGATTGGGACCACCTTGCTCGTTTTCTGATTAAATCCTCCTGCATTCACATATTCACTAAAACTTGTGAAATTCATTAGTTTAAACCCCTAGACCTATGTTTGGTGATGGAATTAAGTATATATGTAGGATATGTTGACGGTTTTTGATTGATGTTAACAACCGTCAACAAGCTCCCCCGAGCTTAACCTTTGCTTGTCCCTGAGCAAAGTTAAACTTGAACAATGGATCTGGAGTTGCTACAATGCTTTCACGTCTCAAAAGTACACATGCGTTCAATCAAAAATTCTCCTCTAGATTAGAATAAATTGATCTGACTTTCAAACTTACCCATATTACCTTCAACCATGGGGCTTCTTAGCCTTCACTTGGGTCTTGAGTAATTGAAAGACAGAATGTCAAGTCAAGCACTATATCTCAAGTTCTTTGTTCGACTATTGTTCCGGAGTTTTTATAAGTTTTTAAAATAAAACTTAGAGATTTCATTGTATGACACACTCAAGTGTCTCAATATATGTGGTATTTGTGGATCCTCACCAAGGTATAACTTGTTGTGCCTTTTCTCTTCCTACCCCGCTTATGTGGAGTTCATAGGTAGGGAGAAAGCTAGTGCATACTTGCAATGCATATATTGTAAAGTCAAACCTCGGATCCAAAGAAAGATGAGTCATACAATCAAATCAAGAGGTGCATGTGTGTGGATATATGTAGTGAATATATATGGTGGCTAACCTAATTCTACTTTGCTCCTTAAAAACTTATCTTTCTTTTGAAACTTAAAAATATTTTTGCAAGAGAATGGGGGCTATCTTTTTTTATCTCTCTTTTTTTCAGGCGGGCATCTGAGTACCCATTGTTTTCAATATCTTGGACACTTTTGTGTCCATTTTTTCTCAACTCTTTTTTAATAACTTTTGCATAGCACCATGTCTCTTTTCTACGGCAAAACTTTTGAGAGATAGCAACAAGAACTTGGAGCATTTACGTGGTGGATGGAAAGCCTATCAAGCATGTTTTTGTATTCACTCCCAATGTAAAAGTAGAACATTTTTTGGTGGATCTAAATGGAAAGCATGTTTTTGCGCTTACCCGTAGTGTAGGAGTAGTGCATATTTGGGTGATGCGTACGTGATCTTCATTTTAAGGGCATGACAAATCTCTCATAAGGGTCACAAAGCTTGACAAAACTCAATGCAAAAACAAGCAGTATATATGTGAAAGTTTTCCTAGCCTAAATAACATGTATGGTTCTGGTGGAAATTAAAGCTTTGCCATACAGGAACTTATCATAGCATTTTTTTTGTTTTTTTTAAAGTAAATCTCTAGAATTTTGGTGTCACTTGGAACAAGATAAACAACTGCTCAGTTCTTCTCATATCATATCCGTCAATTACTTACACTTAGATAAGCATATGCTACCCACGAGTTTCAAGTTCAGAGTAAATCTTTATATCAAAACAATTTTGTCTAGAACTCGGGAGAATTCAAGGCTGAAAACTAGGTACTTAAAAGAAAATACAACAGAGCAACTATTCATCATTTCCCTTTAAAAGATTATTTAGAGTCTTCTTTATTTGTTAACAGCTCTTAAAACAAACTAGAGTAAAATGCATTAGAGGTCCATTAACTTTTGAGTGGGTGTCATCTAGGTCCATCAACTCTTAAATTGTATTTTTTGGTTCCTAAACTTTTTAACTACTTTACCATAGGTCCATCCCTTCATTTATGTTTGTATTTTGCAAAAATCTTCCTCTATTTCTTTTTCTTTCACAAGCTTATCCCTCTTTGCCTTCTGAGCGCACGAACAACGGCGTGGCACGCTGGCCAGTGGTGAGTGAGCCGGATGCTTGGATCAAGCCATGCACCAAGGTAGGTTGGAGGATGCGCTCCGCACGACACAATGCCCTTCACCTCGGCATGGATCTTCGCCGAGATGGCATTCCGGCCAGCAACCTGTGCGGTGGTGGGTCAGAGTCTAACGCTGGCGACCATCTCTTTGAGCCCCTGCAGCCGCTCCAGCAAATCGAAGATGGACACCATGCATGGCCTGTCTCGCGGCTGTTGCGCCATGCACTGCACCACCACCTTCATCACGATGCACGCGCCTTTCATCGACACCGAGTAATGGCCCGGCATCGATCGCCTCCACAACCGCAACGCTAGCCTACGAGCGTGCCTGGGAGGTGGACTTCGATATCCACAGCAACCGCCACGCCGCTCCAGTCCATGGCGTTCCGCCAGTCGCAGGGCTTCGACTTCAACGCAGCACGCGTGTGGCGTCGACTCGGCGGCGTTCAAGGCGAAGCTCGCCGAGATCCTATCGGCGCCGCCGCATGGGGCCAGGGACGTCGAGCTAACGTGATTGGCGAGTGGTGCTGCGTGGGGCCGGGGACCTCGAGCTGGCACGCCTACAACTATGACATGGCCTACCTCGTCAGGATGCTCAGCGACGGACAGCCGTTGCCGAAGACGAGGCAGGAGTTCGTCGCGCGGGTGAGGGGCTGAGTGCCCTCCTCGGCGGTCGGGTGTTCTGCATGGCGGAGAACACTGAGGAAGAGGATGCAGTGATTTTTGTTTTTAGATATTTTTTGCGTACCAAGCAGAAAGGAAAAACACTGGGCATGTACAGAGAGATGTGCTCTCGTTGTAATAATGAATTCAGGAAAACGAGAGCACATCTCATCTCAAAGTATGTCGTCTGCTGTTGCTCGGGTCGCCCTGCCTGCCGACGTGCGTGCCGTCGGGCAGCATGTCGTCTGCGGCGGACCACTGCAAGTCAAGCGGCGGCAGCGGTACTGCTGAGCGGCTCGCCGGGGCGCGTGCCCATGGACTCTCGCGCCGTTCAGACCTCGGCTGCGATGCGCGCTGCCATGGCCGGCCACGATGACAGGAGTCAACGCCGATGAAGCGTCGCTGTCTATAAGCTCCGCGCAGAGCGTGACCAGCTCACCGTTAGTGGGCGCACTGACGTTGGGGTCGAGAGCCTAGCTCTGCATGTCACGGAGGATGGCACAATGCCTGTTGATGAGCGGGAGCGGAGTGTGCATGTTCTGCTGGAGCACCCAAATGGACACGCCGTGCGCTCAGAAGATGAAGAAGGGGAGGGGTCAAGTCAAAAAAAAAAAAAGTAGAGGGATAAGCTTATCAAAGAAAAAGAAATATAGGGAGGTTTTTGTAAAATACATACATAAACGAAGGGGTATGGACTCTGGTGAACCACTTCAAAAATTTAGAGACCCAAAAATATAGTTTGAGAGTTGATGGATCTAGATGACACCCTTTCAAAAGTTAATGGATCTCTGGTGCATTTTATTGAACAAACTATATACACACTCTTTTTTTTTGTTTTCATGCATCATTTTTTAAACTATTTAAAAGAAACTAAAAGCTACAATAATGGAAAAGAATACTTACCTGGATACATGGAGATGCATCTCCCCCAAGTTGGCTCTGAATGTAGTTTGTTTTATCAAAGTTTTTACATATTTTTATTTTGTTTTATATGCAGATAAGTTCTTTTATGCAAATGTCAAAAATAAACTTGCTAAAAGAAATTTATGTAAATAGATATGGATAACTACTGAGTTACCTTTCGGTGAAGGTTCGGTGTTTTAAATCCTTCAAACAGGACTTCTCCTCGTGAACTTCATTGATTGAGTACCTCGGTTCGCTCCTGAGGTGGCACCTCTAATAGTAGTGTTTTCAATGGTGGCGCCACCTTCTTCTGCTAAACCCATCTTGGTTTCGAGTTTGATTTTGGTTTGACAGGTTCAGAACTTTAACTTGTAGAAATTTGGGGAATCGACTAACTCCCACAGTTTTCTTGAAGTGTGTCCTGCTCATAAAGACAAGGTAGAAATTTGGCTCTGTTGGTGGGAAAACACCAACATAACTAAAACTTTATTTATTCTTCTCTAACCTTAGGAATATTGAATATGATAAGTTGATGTTATGTGCTTTGTTCATTTATCACATAGGTGATAAGATCAGAAGATTGAGCATGAATGTAGCATTTAAATAAGTTTGACAGAAAGGATTAAATTGCTTAACCTATGAAATGATTGCTTAACTTTTACATAATGTATCAATCTTTACATGATTATGACTATCATCTTCTAGGGATAAGATGTGCAACTTTTTAGCTCATTTGGTTAAGACTATGAGATCAAGAAAGTACTGCAATGAATAAACTTAAAGAACTAAACATGTTGAGCTAGTCAGGTTGGATCAAATAATAAAGTTGTAACCCAAACATGTTTGTTTCTTATTTTAGTGCATACCAGAATCAAGGAAAAACTCTTTAAATAATGACCATTTACCTTAGGATGTTACCTTTGTCATTGGAGCCTGATGACACCATGTGACGAAGGGTAGATGACTTGTGATGGTCCTTTCCTTTTGCTTGAAGGTTTCCTTATTCGGCTAATCTTGTATCTTGAGCTGTTCATAAGCATCTTGTCTCCTAAATTGCACCCTTTCTTTCTCATCCTTTTGTCATGCCATATGTTTGCTCTTTGATCTTCCGCTCCACTCATTGTTTTATGACTCAAACCTTGATCTACTTCCACAAATGATCTTCTATTGGTGAGGGCTTTTTAGGTCCGTTGATCAGGACCTCTCATTGTATTTAGCTTGTATATGCACCATTAGATCCAGGAGATGAGGACAGTTACTTGTTCTTCTCCCGTCGACCTTTCTTGATTTTCGTTGATTCTTGGTTGATGATGGAGGAATCTTCATTGGTTCTTGCGTGAAAGCTTCATCTCCAATGACCTTAGGATGTCATTTTGCGACCATAGTCGTTCACAACCCCATGAGACACTATCGACAAACCTCCATTGATATGACATTTGTTAACGCGAGGATCTCGTCAGCCTGGTCCTTGTTGTTGACATCCGAATTGGTGTCCTCAAGGATAACAAGCACCAGTTTGACTAGGTGGGTTGCATCCTGCTTATCATTATTATCCTTGCTTGAGTCGTGGGAAGCTCAAAGCTAGGTTGTCTTTGGCATTTCTTGTGGCCCATTGATTTGTTCATCCACTTCCTATGAGTGAGTGCTGTTATTGTAGATCTTGTTTTATGGCACTCATCTTCTTCCTCTTTGTTCCCTAACTGAAGTGGTGGTTTGGTTTGGGTTTGTAGGTCCATGCCAAACCATGAACAGGTGTAGCTTATATTCATTCATCCCTACAAAATGTTAGTGGACACATACCGGAGGGAATATAACAAGTTTGAACTATGGGTTGTTGTCCATAAATTATGTGAATTACGTCTATGCTAATGAAAAGATGGTTTTAGGATTACTTTAGCAGAGATTTTTGTCTTTCATGCTTTATATAATCATGGCTCAAGGCAAAGGTAACTTGCAGCAAAATACAAAGTGAATGAACTTTGATACTTACAGTTCTTCTATGCATGATGAATGAGCTGTGTCTTCTTTGCGCAAGTTATTGGAGTTCATCATGTGAATTGCTTCATCTCTGATTTGAATTCATCTCGTGAGTTACCCAAATTGAATTTGAGAGTTTCATGCATAGGTTAGTCTATATATACAACCAAATTCTATACAAGCATGTTTTGATCCAATAATCATGTTCAACTATTACTCAAATCAAAACAAACTATTGTAGAAAAGGTAGTATGAAAGTACAACAGAGATTTACTCAAATAGAGATGAAAGAGCATGATTGTTATTTAGCAAATTGAGCATGGCTTAAAGGTAGAGACAACCAACATGACATAATATTTTTTTAGAGAAGTCCATCCCCCATACTTGAATTTTGCAACGCAAAATCAAGTTTGGATGATAGAATTCTCCCATGAATGTGATTCAATGTTATATGATGATTGGTTGGGCATACCTTATGTTTTCATACTTTTGCTTCCAACCTAAAATGATTAGTGACAAAAAATACCCGAAGGAATAATTTCACAAAAGGTGAAAGCTCAGGTTATCTCCTAGAAGTGCTTGTTTTAGGACAAAAGCTCGTCCTTGAGAAACCTTCAAATTGCGCCTCATGTTGGTGAAGTGGTTTCCCCTCCAACACCAATCTTTGTGTACCTATCTTAAGATTCATGCCAACACACAATGAGATCTGCAATATTTATGATAAACAAATGCGTCTACAACCACCCTTTGAAATTTTTTATGAACAGGAAGTATAAGGGGGTTGAAGATCTCGGGTGTGGTAGTAGAGAGACCAATTAATTATGGAGATTTCTCAAGCGAGCATGGATTCGATGAGGTGTTCATGAAGTAGCCTCCATGCTCATTGATGTCATCTTCCTTTTCAAGCTCTAAGGTTGATTCTCCATGAATGTCCAAACTTTTCCTTAGATTGATAACTCTTGGGTTGATCTTGCCTAAGGCCTCCTTCGAACTTGGATGAGTCATGTTTATTAAGGAGATTGACTTAAGCTCACTGTTTGTATCTAAGCTAGGTTTAGATTCTATCCTTAAGGTTTTGTCCTTGTCCTTCCATTCTTTTCTAGCAATAGCATATGAGTTCTTAATATCCTACAACCATTGTCGTTGCTCTTCTTCGTTATCCTTATCGTCTTCATGACTCCTATGCTTTGGGTGTCTTAGTGGATTTCTAGGATCATCATGAGACTCAGGAGAAAGAGCATAAGATGGATCGTCGAGGTCGAGGATGGGTTTGAATGAGACATTTAATGTGGGCGTAGAAGGGGAGAGTATTGTTGACGGTAGTTAACAACCAATTTAAACCATCAATTAAACATGTATAAGGGCATAAATATAATCACTAATGAAGGTTTAGGGGTTTAAACTAATAAATTTCATAAGTTTTGATAAATCTGTGTTTTCAGCAGGGTTTAATCAGAAAACCGCCAAGGAGAACCTAATCGTCAAAGGAAAATACGGAGTTCCACCGCTGTACCTACATGGGAAGACTCTAGAAGGGTCTAGAAGCCACGTCACTAAAGCAGAGGGCCACCCCCTGACAGGTGGGGCTGCCCAGCCTATAGGTAGGGCCGCCCCCCCTGGGCCCACCTATCAGCCAGCTTCGTATGTCGGTCTGCCACTGCCTTTGAGGATGCATCTAGGCCGTTGCTTAAGTTGGTTTGATCCAAGGGCTCACGTTGGATCCTCAGGGCTATATAATCCAGCCCCTACCTCCCCCAGGCATTAGAAGTCATCAAGTCATTTGAGAAGACAGAAACCTTAATCTCCTCAGAGCTCCTCCTCCTCCGTAGCATAGCTAGTTAGGATAGATCTAGAGGGAGACAAGCAGGACTTCTCTTGGATTCCCGATCTTGTTAAGAGTGTGGTTTGGTATAAACTTTGTACCCCTCTCTCTTATGTTTCTCTATTATTTTTATATGCTAGTTACAATTGTTATGACAATCTCAGTGTTTATCTTATTCATGTTCTTCATTATGATGTTCAACGTCTACTTTGATTATATACTTAGTATAGCTAGTTTATCATTGTGTTTATGCATAAGTTCATATAGCACTCACTCTGATGTACACAGGGTG